GTAAGTAAGTAAGTAAGTAAGAGCCCTGGAGATAAGAGGAGAATGGTTGAATAATAAATTCGAGGCAATTGTCTCCGTAACGCAGTGACAGTACATTTGTTATAACATTGTGCTTATATATTGTAACTGGAAAAATAATATTTAAATTTATATTGTGACATGTAGACCCATTGCTAGGCAACGGAACTTTAAACATGCGTCCTTAATAGAAGACGGTGTTTTCCTTGGGGTCCGTGCCGAGAGGATATCTTGAGGACAATCGGAGCTACAAGGCAGAAAACATCTGGTCATGAGCCCCAGCCGGGGCTCAAAACCACAGACAAAAAGACTGACTGACTCTCAGTCGCAATGTGACTTTGACTCTGACTAACAAGGCCGATAAGGATTCAGCTGTGGAGTGTTCACCAGTGGGCAACGGAAGCGGAAGAATCTCCACTGCTAAGATCCGTTACTAGGAAACGTCTAGTGAAAACACTGCATAGGAATAGACATTGAGAAGAGCAGTTACTGAGTAAAGACTAGTAAAAATAGACTGAGAAGACAGTGGGAGTGAATTGTAGTGCGGAAATCAGCAAAAGTATAATAATTATTTGTCATTATGATATATTACCAGCCCAAACCCGACTGTAGTCATTAATACACGCAACAACATTAAAGATGTAGGGTGTAATATTGTAGACTGGGTTCATGCGGAGGAAGAGTTGGGAATTTTCATGGTCAGCAGCCTGGAGTGAGAAGTTTGGAGTCTCAGGAATACATGAGCAACCGCTATCTGCTAAGGACAGTAGACTCTATTGTCAATTTTTTATTTAGTTGCTTAGAATTTCGTTTGCTGAAAGTAATGAACGTAAAATAAATATGTATTTATATAATAATGAAAAGGTTTGAATTTTAATTTTAACAAAAATAAAACAATTGCACTTAAATCATGAAGACTGGCAAGATACAAGACTGCTAGAAAATAAACAAGGACAGAAAACATATAAATTAGAATGTTGGAATTTAAAAAGAAATACTTAGCTGAATAGGTTTAAAGTGCTGGGACAAATATTTACACGTATGACCTGAATCCTTTGCCCTTATTGAGGTAGAGTGATGTTAAGGGGTCGCTTCTTATTCGAAGTTGCACTGGATGTACCAAAACCAGCCAGTAATCATAAAATATTAAGAGGCCACTTTGAAGACAAGACAGTAGAATGAATGGAGTCCTGATATTAAAATTTGTCTTATAGAAATATTTTTGAGGGTGTAAAGTAGATTTATCTGCCGGTCACGGTAGCCGAGCGGTCTCAGGCATGAACTGTCTTCGCTTGCTCGGAAGCCGGGATCGTAGGTTCGAATCTCACACAAGACATGGATGTTCAGTGTGTGTGTGTACGAGTTTATTCTCTGTTTGTGTTCTTCTGTTTTTAGGTAGAGGCCTTGCGACGAGCTGATCACCCGTCCAAGGAGACCTACCCTCTGTAAAATTATCATGAAACTGAGAAATCAGCCCTATGCTCCCAAGAGGGAGCAAGAGATAGAGTGGGAAAAGTGGATTAATCTAGCTCAGGTTAGTGATCAATGTAGACTCCTGCGTGAACTCTATGGAAGTTAGTGTACCCTAAACGCCGTGGAATTTCTTGACTGTCCGAAAGACTGACAGTTTCTCAAGTGCGTCTGTGATCCATAGGGTGTGTTGGGAAGTGGGGTAGCATTCCATTAATTATCAGATCATTTGCTACATAAAGACTGATGCTAAATTTCACAAGAGACTGTTCCTTGCTTGAATTAAAATAAACATATTTTCTCACCTTTAGGCTTCTATCATCCGCGAAATTTCCCTTCATCGAAGCTTCCAAGATTTCTGCAACAAGTTAATTTTTTTATTAAATTATTTTGTAAATCTAAAGAGAGAATTTATTTTAGTTTTCTTTCATAACACCTCTTTGTTCTTCAGCCTCTGTAAGCAAATGAAAGTTAATGATATGCAAGCAACTAACACTGGATTATTCATACGCATCATTAAATTCAGGTTGTAAGTCTAATTAATGTGACACCACGCATTTTTGCTTTTATTAGGAGCTCTTTGCAAAGACGCGTATAAAAACGCATATTTAGAAGTTCATGTCTCTCTGCTTTTCGTATGTTTCACTCGAGAATCACTGGACGGATTGTGGTGGAATTTTAGTTTGAACTTTTGACACTAGAGGCCACCCAAAGATGATACTTTTTATTTATCTACAGTCCTAAACATATTTAACATTGTGACCACGGCCGAATGTGAATGTGGTGATGGGCTACAAACGGAGGAACATGTCTTCTGGGACTGTAAACTGTACGAAGACCAAAGGGCAACAATGATGGACGTTTTGTCTGAGAACAGCAAAGAAGAATACCCAAAGTCAGTTACAGAGCTCTTAAGGCTAGAAGGAAAAAGATTTCTGTAAGGCGTCTGTTACTTCATAAACAACATTCCTATATTTATATAAAGCAGATATGTAAGAAAAATAAAAGAAGTAATTATACTGATTATGAACAGTATACTCTCAGATTTAACTTACGATCTAAATTAAGATTCGCGGGATTACCGCTGTAATGGAATAAGATGTTTATAAGAATGTGCTACAGAAGGCCGGATGGGCATTGCCTAGGCCTTCTTTGTATTTACTGTATTGTTTCTGCAAGAAAAAATTATCTACAGTCGATAATGTCAAAATTTCTGACTCAAGAAGGTGTGAGATTTGAACAACTCAAGCTGTACTTCCGAAATCAACTAAACATAATAAACACAGGAAACAAAGAACAAATAACAAAATAATCAAAATAACAAAGGAAACAATAGTAACGGAACTTGTGACCTTTAAAACATAAATATAGGTACAGTTATATCCATTCAAAATTACACCCATCAAGTAAAATGGTGAATGGACAAACGTTCTGCAATTATTGGAATCTATTAATACGTAATAATGAGACATCATGCGGTTTTCAAAGGGAACTAAGCCTCTATAAAAATTAAATGGAAATTTGTCAAAGTTTTCATCAAAGTTTTCGGAATTACAAAGTTCAAGGAGCCCATATGAGAATTCTATGTACTCCTGCAGGAATACTACCTCTCCAATATTATTTATCGTCATGTCCCCGCTTAGTGATATTTGCATTAAACGGTTGCCGAGCAATAAAAGTGCATTGGGCGTTTAGCACTTGAACATAGAATATTGAAGCCCTCACACAAAGTTACACTGGTTTTCGTAAGAGTGGTTCAGAGGGGCGGTGCGGAGCAGGGAGGAGTCTGTTGAAAAGCGGACAAGGTTTGTTGCACTCAGCTTTCAGCAATAATTGTTTTACAGTAAAACGGAGCGTTGTGTTAGGAGCCTCCACTTGTACGTTACTCTTTCATAAGCAAATGCAGAAAGTGTGAGGTGTTAACTCACCATCGCTGACGCCTGTCGTGGGTTGACAATGCTTCATCAGTATAGCGTTTGCTTTCTGTATTTCCTCCAGCGTCAGTTCCTGGAATATATATGCACTTAAAGTGACACTTTTTGTGTGTAGGACATAATGAAAACTACTTCCATTTAAGATCATAAACTCCGACTTAGGCTTAAGTTAATAAAATGTTCTTGGACTCTTAGTCTTGAGAGGTGATTAAAAACAACCAACAGTTCACGAACATTTTCCAGATAAAATTATGACAATGTGGAGAGAATTTGTTCCTGAAACGTCGGTCATTTGTAACCAGCTGACATGACTGATAGACTGGGAAGATTTTATTTAGTCTTCAGAGTAGAGTTTAACCGTAGCTAAGCTTTATTTATGGAACACAGTGATTCGTTGAGCAAGGACACTCCACTTCCCCATATTCTGCACAAGATGAATCTACACCACATAATCGCATATATCTGGTTTAATGTTAGGTCTCCTTCTACGCCTAGGTATAGTTAATTTCCCCTTAAAATGTTCGGAACAATTTTCTGTTTGAATGACTCATTTCCTCTTTCCGTACACATGCTCCGCAGTTGCAGTTTCCTCGATTGGTCATTTTGAGAGTAACCGGGAAAGGTTACAAATTTTGAAGCTCTCCATTCTGCAATTTTCTGAACTTTCTGTTACTTCCACCCCCTCAGGTACCACTAGCCCCTCAGGTACTACTATCCCCTCAGGTACCACTAGCCCCACAGGTACCACTAGTTGCAGAAGAAATATTGGAAAACTGCGTCATGAACTGATATCTGAAAGTGTCCATTACTAAGATTCAGATAGCAGCGCAGGTGAAACCAAGCCGTTGTTATTAACGGGAAGGGTCACAGACTGATACTTGTCTTCTTTGAAGAAACGGATTATCGTAAAAATTTTATAAATAATAAAACATTTGGGGATCTATTAGTCGGAAGGATATATTTTCCTCATAAGTGCTTTTACTTCATCAGAATTAAATCTCTGCGCAATTTCGATTAGTAACTTTATTCAGAGAGTCGAATCGAAAATGTGTTCCTTGCTGAAGGTGTCAAGAACTCGCTGTGGAAAATGTAGTTCCAAAAATTGCAATTTCCGAATTTGCGCGTTAGTGTCCCAAATGTTTATCACAAACGAAAAATCAGTAAACATTGGATTGAGAGTTTTCTACGTGTGGTCTTTCTCTACGTTATTGCGCGATGCAGTCAGTACAAGTCACATCTATCCTGAAGGTAGAATATAACCACTTAGAAACTGCACTATGTAGGCGTAATAACACAAAAAACTACATTTAAAACCCCAAATTTAATTTTTTTCCTGTAACTATAAAAATGTTTCTGAATTCATATTACTGGGGGCACGCGGTAGCGTAGTTAGTTGAGACACTATGCTACAAGCCAGAAGGTCACGGGTTCGAGTCCCGATGAGGGAGGATTTTTTTCAATTTACCTAATCTTTCCAGCCGAACTATGACCCTGGGGTCGACTCAACCTCTAACAGAAATGAGTACCAGGAATCTTCCTGAGTGTAAAGGGCGACCTGCGCGTAAGACTGACAACCTCACCGCCATCTGTGAACCGATTGTCTAGACAAAATGTGGGAGCCTCGATATCTCATAAAACTACGGGCCTTCATGGTCTGCTGCAGGGATAGCTTTACATTTTTTTTTACCTGTGTATTCGCATTAATACATACTAATATACTCTTTTACATTTATTCTATTCCTTCATTAACATTCGAACACAGATAATTAGTTAATAAACTTACCCCTGATGTGTGCCTAAACATGACGACCAGAGTGGCCACGAAAACAAAAACAATCCAAGCACAATTCATCTTGTTAGCTTCATTATCATAAAACATCACAACTGCAGTTGATTAAATGCATCTACCTCGGGTTTTTATACGTTGTAACTCAGTACAACATGCATTGCATCCAACAAGGTCGTGAATGTCGTATCTGCAGTTAATTTCCGGTGTTTCGTACTCTAACCACATTAATTACCTTCTTCGTTCAAACGTAGCAAAGCCTGCATTCATTACAAATGTGGGAATCTCTCTGGATTAAGCTAATAATTAGGGGTGAACGGTTTACTAGGTATTTCCTCCGAGCTTATCCCGTGATATGAAAGCATGGTAAGGATTCCAGTTGAGTTCAAACCCATTGATAAGAAGAACTGCACTCTATTAATTCGAACATAAATTAGTAAGGACTTAAACCGTGTATCGCCGAGGACAGTCCTGCAGAATTTGTGTCCTTAAAATGGAAAATGAGATTATTCATTATTACCGACAAATTTATTAGGCATAGAATTTCATAATTTTCATAACGAACAGCAATAATATCATTTGCGCATATTTCTTGTTACGGTTGCAAGATTTTGTAGTTTGGCTATAATTCGTGATAACTCAGTCACCATAGAATTTGGACTGAAGAATGGACTTTATTTCCAGAGATAAATATTACTCACAGCCATATCTTTGATAGAACTGGCCCTGGAATCGATCCATCTTCTTGTTCGATTGTTCTCTAGCTTCTCTCTCCGGCCGTAAATTCTTTGGAGCGTGAAAATTTGTCCTCACCTGCAGTGAGTGAACATTTACAACCATGCCCCTCATGCGCCCCTATGTTGTGGTACATAGTCAAATTACAGTCACTCTCTTTATCATCAGATTGGAAAACGAAATCTATAACAAGTATTGAACTCTTTTTCATTAATATTATTTTAAATATTATATTATTTTGGCCGGTCACGGTAGCCGGGCGGTCTATGGCACGTACTGTCTTCGTTCGCTCTGAACCGGGATCGTGGGATCGAATCCCACACAAGGCATGAATGTTTGGTACGTGTATGTGTATATTCTGTGTTTGTGTTGTTCTGTATTTAGGTAGGGGCCTTGAGACGAGCTGATCACTCGTCCAAGGAATCCTACCGTCTGTAAAATGATCAAAAAAACAACCTCGACACCGTAAGACATAAGAGGAACGGGTTAAGCAAGTAAGTAAGGTATTATATTTGAGCATCCTGCTACATTGTTGTACCACTCACTCAGTCACCTCCTATTTAATGCAAATTAAGAATATTCGCCGTCAATTTTTAATGTAAAATTACGTTAAAATAAAAACAAGTACTACAACTTTCGGCCTTACTCGGCCATCTTCAGGCAAATTATGAGACAAATTAAACAAACCGTGCAAAATCAGGGGCTGTCTGCTCGTTGGATGATCTGCCCTCTTTAAATTTCTAACTCCATGGAGTGAAGTCCTTCCAGAGACACTGATTGTCGCTCAACTGATGTGGTTCTTTATCCTGTTCTCAGCAGCCCGCTACTGGACTCTATCATCAGCCAGATGAATCCACTCCACAACTTCTCGTCCTACACCTTTCTTAGATAAGTTTTAAAAAAATTCTCTCAACTGTTCCTAGGGCCGAAATTTGCTCCCTTTATTTCAGTTTTCAGAAATAAAATTTTGTATCAAATTCTCATGTATTTTATTTGCTGGAGAGTATTCAATGAGATACTCTTCATTTTTGTCTCCTCCAGCCTCAGGTTATTTACCCTCCCTTAGCTCCAGATATTATCCTCAACAAACGTTTGCTCAAAACCTCATATCTTCTCTCGATCTGAGAGGGAAAGTTTCACACCCTTGCAAATAACAGCTGGAACTGTGGTTTTGTAAAAGCCTGTTTCGATCTTAAGTATTGTAGGTAGCAGAAGGAAGAATAACAAATTCTAAACTGAATAGTACGAAGTATTCTTCGAATTCAGGTTTGCCTTCATTTTTTCGATTGTTTTGTTTACTATTATCACTCCGAAATTTTTTAAATTTCTCTCATTCGAAGGGTTATTTTTGGCTTCCTTTACTCAGCAATTTTATCCTGCATTCTGGTAACTAGACATTAAAATAGATTTTGTTTCATTTGGCTTCAATCTAGACAAGCATTCTTACTAGGGTTATTTCTGTTTTATAGTCCATATTGCGTTTATATTTGTGTCCAATAAATTAACGCTTCACCATAGTCCTGAAAGTGACATGTTACAGTCAGTTCGAATCTCTACTGATTTTCTGTTGTTGAACTCCTTCAAAAGCATTATAACAAGCCCAGGGCTCAGTGCAACATTTCGTAACATGCTAGTGATTTAACGACGAGGGGTTGTTAAATGAACCATCTGTCGGCTGTCCGAGACTATTCAATACAGGTGCTTCCGCCCTTCACATCTGGAGATGCAGTCCTTCGTCCGCTGTCTGAGGGCAGACCATGACACAAACGGGCACGCATAACGTGGCCCTAAGATGACTGAGGGTTCAGATTACTCACTCATGGAGCTGAGCCCTTCTTGAGGAGCCGCCAAATCTGCAGCTACTCAAGAATTTCCCACCATTTTATGGAACCCGAAGGCTCATTACCGTGTTCACAAGAGCCCTCCACTGGTCCCTATTCTGAGCCAGACCAATCTAATCCATACCATCCCATCCTATCTCTCTAATATCCATTTTAATATTTTCCACCCACCTACGTCTTGGTCTTACCAGTAGTCTCTTTCCTTCTGGCTTTCCACCAGTATCCTATATGCATTTATATTCGCCCTCATTCGTGCTACATGCCCTGCTCACCTCATCCTCCTTGACTTGAACATTCTAATTATGCTTGGAGAAAAGTACAAGTTATGAAGTTCCTCATTATGCAGTTTTCTCCAACCTCCTGTCACTTCATCTCTCTTCGGTCCAAATATTCTCCTCAACACCCTGTTCTCAAACACCCTCAGTCTATGTTCCTCCCTTAATGTCAGAGACCAAGTTTCACACCCATACAGTTACTCACTTCCCTCCCAAATTTTAATAAAGGAGACTGAGTTCTTTCTGTGGATCCGGGGTAGCTCAGTCGGTATAGCGACGGGTTTCTGGCGGAACGGCAGGGGTTCTATTGCAGGCACGGGAAAGATTTTTCTCTACTTCACACAGTTCAAACCAATTCTGGAGCCAACCCAACCTCCTATCCGACATATGTAGGAAGCTCTTCCTCGGGGGTAAAGCGGCCGTAACGTGAAACTAACCACTCAGCTCCAACTCGTGTAGAGGTCAAAATGGTGGAGCTATACTTCGATTCCCCCACACGTCTTGAAGGCTTGATAATTAATTAATCAAAGGAACATCTTTGTACTTCCATTAAACTCTTAGAACTTTCATTCCGGACACCCAGTGATAAGGTTTTATTCCAGAGAGGACACGAACTCTTTCATTTACTGGTCTTATTGAAGATATAACAATCATAACATGGGAAGGGTTAAATTATTAATAGAGGTACAAAAATTTGGAATGAGAACAGTTTTATTCTTCTGCAGAAATCTATAAATTTAGTGTTAGTTAGTTACAGAAATATATGTTTTAATAATATTAATATCAACCAAGGAACATACATAGAGACAAGTGCTAGTGTATTTGTATAGGGTAAAGAAGAAGTCGATTCGTGGAGGCAGTTTTGCTCGAGCGAGCAGTGACTCTGCTAAGGCATTAGGAAGGATGACAGGCAAAGCTTTTCTACAACAGGTAACAAAGGATTGCATTTGTTTGAAATGTTACATTGCAAACTCATGGGTTACAAGCGAAGTCCTTGTGTTACGTCACCGGGCTGCGGGATTCATGAGGGCTGTAGTAATCACGGCAAGTAGAAAGACTGAAAACAGACAAATATTAATACACGTAATTATATACTTGTAGGTTCTCACAAAGTGTCGGAAAACGCCCTGGAAATGTGATTCTTATTCTTACCTGAGGATCAACTGCATAAGCACATTTTGTAAGCGCCATGGCCATTTCACACTCGTCATCAATTCCTGCAAATTCAATTAAATTTTGTTATTTTCACACACATAGCTATTTTTGTAGTCTTGTTTTCCGTCTCTAATGCAGCAATATCAATTTAAACTCAGTATAAGGAACACAGAAGGTAGCCGAGATAGCGCAGTTGGTATAGCGACTGGCTACGGAATTCGAGTCCCGGTAGGCTCAAGAATTCTCTGTTCTCCACGTCGTCCAAACCGGTTCTGGGGCAAACCCAACTTCCTATCTAATGGACATCGGGAGCTCTTTTCCCGGGGGTAAAGCGGCCATGGCGTGAAGTTGACCACTCACCTCCAGCTAGTGCCGAGGTCAACGAAATTTCGATCTATACATGCACTTCCCCGCATGTCTTCATGTTGTAGTGATTAAGCGGTTACAAGGAACACAAAGCACACAACCAAGAGAACGGCATAACCAGAGGAACACAGAAACGGCCTCAATACAAAAGATAGGGTGACAAACACCCGGCGACATAAAATTAGTAATAACAACAACGACGTGCCTTAATGAATACTATTTGACCAAGTGCACAGTGCAGTAGACCCCTTTAAAAGATGTGTTGCCTGAAAATGGCTCTTTGCGGCTGAGACATGTAGCATAAAGACTGAATGTACAACTTTATTGGCATTTTTAATATTTAACAAACATTTTATTGAATTAAATGTGATTTGGTGTCTTTTAAAGTTTAAAATGATATTGTTGCATTACAGACGGGAAACCAGTCTACAGGAAATAGTGAGCTAATGCAAGGGGATTTTGAATTGGATATTTTTTTTTCAATGGCTCTTCCAGTCCATTCAGGGCCCAGGCCTCTTGTTCAGATCCGTAATCATTTTTCACAGATGGTAGAACTCCTTGGACGAGTGAGCAGCCTGTCGTAACGCCGCTTACCTTAACCCAGGACAACACAAACACATAGCCAACGCATATACACCAAACATCCATGCCGTGAGTGGGGTTCGAACCCACTATCCCAGGGTCCGAGCGATTGAAGAGAATCTGCTTTATAATTTCCAAATCCTGCGTCACTATAATTCCATTTTCCTGCCACTTATTACGGTCAGTGATGGAACGAAATGAAATTCCCTTCCCTGACTGACTCAACACCAAGGTAACCAACATTTTAATTATCGGGAAGAAGCATTCTGAAATAACACAGATAAGTAACCGGGACTTCAAACGACGAAGAGACACTACAATGTGAAAACACTAATTCAAATTTATGTATTCAATTTTTTTTTAAGAAATCCATGTAGCCGATCACAGTGGCTGCTTAGTCTCCGTGTGCTACAAATATGCGTGCCACAACTAACGTCTTTCGTAGTCACCGATCCAATGAAAATGCCCTTCCTATACATTGACATTAATTTGGTTTGAGTGATGGATCTTTCTCTGCATATCGGCCGGAATTCGGTAAGGAACAGGTCCACAATAACAGCCTGAAAAAGGCGAAATCTCTTTTTATCCACCATGAAAATTCCATCAAACTCAGCTATTTGAACAGAACGTGCGTACCGTGCCACACTATTGCCTACTTAGTAAGGTAAAGTTATATCTGTGCTTAACTAACTAAGCACTACACCATGAAGGCTTATGAACGAGTGGATGTTAATCAACATTTTCTTGAACGCGGCATTAGCTGGAAGTGAGTGGTCAGCTTCACGCCCCGGCCGCATTACCATCGGGAAAAGAGACCACAGTAACCATTGGATAGGAGGTTGGGTGGACCCTATATCCCGTCTGGACGACGTGGAGAAGAGAAAATCCTTGACCCTACAGAGACTCGAACTCTGACCTCTCAGTCGTCCAGCCCGTAGCCAGTAGCTATAGAGACTGCGCTATCCCGGCTACTGAAATAGGATTCATATTTTATAAAATTGATTCCCGATTGGAAAACAACCGAATGACTTAACTCGTAAAGGCTGAAGATGAATAAGAATAAAACTAAGAATAACAATAAGAAGAACATA